TCCAATATGTCTGCCTATTTATATAGCACCAAACCACCAATCCCTGCTTGCTTCCTCTTATGCCCTCCTCCTAATTCCTGCCAAGGCCCCTTTCCACTAAGCTGCGCTTTTGCTACATGGGGCTACATGCAGTATATATGACGAAATAGATAAACGTTATAAAAAATGTTACTTGATTATTTGCAAAGAACATGATGCCATTCCTAGCAATGGAGCTTTTTTAAAAATGCCTGCATGCATAAATATCTTTCCCCCAAAAATGTAGATCCAGCTCATCATTAGACGCACTCATGCTACACTCAGTGCACTAGGACCCCGCAGAGAGTGTTGAAACAGAGCTCCCTGCATTGTGTACTCTCAGTGGGCCCACCTGGATGATTGGCAGGCAGCTTGGTATGCTTTCCCTTTGAGCAGCACCAGTGACACAATCATGTCACTGGCCTGCCCTCTTTCCTCCCCGTCTGACCAGTACCTCGATTCATGGAGCCCTCATGTTGGGAGGTATGTTACAGGTTAGTGTGCTTGGAGAGCTCATACTTTACTCTCCTCCCCTCACATTGGCTGCTATCATGTAGGCATTAAACTGGTTATGTCATGTTGGAGTATATCAGAAAGATATAATAAAATTTAAAAAAATTGAGAGTGAAGGGAGTTCCAGATCCCCCTATTGATTAGCTTTGTGTCTGTGTACTCTGGCTCTCAAAATTCTTGAGGTAGCACACCTTAGTATTAGGGTGGACTGGCCTTCAGCTGGATGCATTTGCTGCATATTGTGAGGATGCTAGGGGGTGCTGTTTAGCTTACAATAGATAGTGAGGAAGACCTATGATCTGGGGATACAGTTGTGCTCAAAGGTTTGCAGAAATTGTGAAATTTTGGCATTGATTTTGAAAATATGACTGATTTATTCAAAAAAATTAACCGGTAACATCAGGAGAAATACAGGCTTCTCTGGAAAAAGACGTAGTTGTTTCAATTAGCACATTACGATGAAACTTGAACAAAAAGGAGTTGCATGGTCGAGTTGCCAGAAAGAAGCCTTTACTGTGCCAATGCCACAAAAAAGGCTGGTTAAAATATGCCCGACAACATCTTGACATGCCTCACAGCTTCTGGCACACTGTAATTTGGAGCGACGAGACCAAAATAGAGCTTTATCCTCACAACAATAAGCGCTATGTTTGGAGAGGGGACAAGGTCTATAGTGAAAAGAATGCCATCTACACTGTGAAGCGCGGTGGTGCCTCACTGATGTTTTGGGGGTGTGAGCTTTAAAGGCACGGAAAATCTTGTGAAAATGAATGGCAAGATGAATGCATCATGTTATCAGAAAAAACTGGCAGACAATTTGCATTCTTCTGCACGAAAGCTTTGCATGGGACGCTCTTGGACTTTCCAGCATGACAATGGCCTTAAAGGACCACTATAGTGCCAGGAAAACATACTTGTTTTCCTGGCACTATAGCGCCCTGAGGGTGCACCCACCCTCATGGCCCCCTTCCCGCCGGGCTCTGGGGGGAGGAAGGGGTTAAACTTACCTCTTTCTCCAGCGCCGGGGCGGGGAGCTCTCCTCCTCCTCTCCTCCTCTTCGGCGGAATGCGCATGCGCGGCAGGAGCCTGCGCGCATTCAGGCAGTCCATAGGAAAGCATTATCAATGCTTTCCTATGGACGTTGGCGTCTTCTCACTGTGAAAATCAGCCGCTAGAGGCTGGATTAACCCATTTATAAACATAGCAGTTTCTCTGAAACTGCTATGTTTATAGAAAAAAGGGTTAAACCTAGCTGGACCAGGCACCCAGACCACTTCATTAAGCTGAAGTGGTCTGGGTGCCTATAGTGGTCCTTTAAGCACAAGGCCAAGTTGACCCTCTAGTGGTAACAGCAGAATAGGTGAAGGTTCTAGAGTGGCAATCACAGTCTCCTGACCTTAATATCATCGAGCCACTCTGGGTAGATCTCAAACGTGTGGTTCATGCAAGACAACCAAAGATTTTTCATGACCTGGAGGCATTTTGCCTCATAGACAACTGTCATTGATGCTAAAAGGCACAATACACCGTATTAAGAACTATGAGTATGCAGACTTTTGAACAGGGGTCATTCTATTTTTTTCTTTGTTGCCATGTTTTCTTTTATGATTGTGCCATTCTGTTATAACCTACAGTTGAATGTGAATCCCAACATAAAATAAATGTGTTTGCTTGCTCACTCATGTTTTCTTTAAAAAATGGTACATATATTACCAATTCTCCAAGGGTATGAAAATTTTTCAACACAACTGTATATTTAATAGGTCAAGGGACGTGGTCTTGTAATTAGATAGAATTTTATGTGGGAAGGTTGGTGTGGGGAGGGAAGGTTCCTCATTTTGAAACTGTTTTTTTACCAGTTGCAAATAACCAGGCAATAACAATGCTATTTACATGTTTCTGTTCTGCTAATTTGTGCTGAAGTTTTGATTCACTTGTACTGCTTAAAGCAGCCCTGTCATGCTGAACTTACCTTTCCCCAATCGCTTCCTCTTCTCTTCCTCTCTCAGGATCTGTTCTTCTTTTCTTCCCATCTGATCTAGATTTCTTTAAAACATAAGACAAAGTAGGGACTGCTTTGTCTTGTGTATTTTTCCTACGCTTGACCAGCATTGACCCACTTCCTGTGGTCAAAGAAAATTTCCCACAATACTCGCCTTTTCCTCCGTGATCTTGCAATGCTTCCTTTCTGTATTCCCGAACGTCCTGTCATATAGACGCCAGCGAAACTACCGAATTTCGTCCTAACAGAATGGGTATAGTTTGTTCATTCGTGTTAGGGCGACATTCGGTACTTTTAGTTCGAAATTTAATTTGAATAGCCCCGCAAGCCCCATGTGTGGGGACCCTAAATTAAAATGGGGGGGAGGACCTATTGTCCCTCTCCCACCCATGGGCCACGGCTGGGTGCTAAGTGTACATATACCCCTAGGTGACTAGGGATTCCCAAACATCTAGTCACCACCGTCCAAGAAAAATAAAATAAAGCCCTACCTAAAAAAGTGAGGGGGAACAATAAAAATAAATACCACTAAATAATAAAAAATAACTTTCCATTTGATGTCTTCTTTTATAAGCCCCAAAAAAGGTGAAATTAAAATCCATAAAGCACGTCGAACTTATAAATAAAAGATCAGAACGCCAAATAAGATGCTGAAAAAAAAAAACTTGAGCCTTAGAGATAACCAATCAGGTAGGGCTCACTATTTACATATCAGAGCACTCTTATTGGTTGGCTTAAAGTAACCAAACAGAGCACTCTGAGTTAAATTTCAGGGAGTGGGAAGTCTTTATAAGCCTTTCCCCGCCTTGTGGAGCTTGGTTTGCGCAGTGCCCTCACTGGGTTAAGATGGATTTTTTTTTTAGCATTGGGATTTTTTTATTTGGTGTGTTTTCGGCATGTCTCCGGTTATTTATTTGAATAGATGCCCCATAATGGGGCACTTTATTGAAAGTGGGTTTTTGTTGTTGTTATTTTTATAACAGTGAGCAACCACAGGTTGCTCACTGCTTAGTAGACATGCCCCTATTTATGGCATAGCGGGTAGGGGCATTCGGGAGATTTCAATATCGACCCCCATATAGTGTGGGAGGACATGGGGGGCATGGGAAGTGGCGGGGAGCACTGCTACCTGCTGCTTCTATTTTAACATATTACAATGAGGGAGCTGCGAGCCGGTAGCTCCTTCCTTGTAATAAACAGAACGAACAAACAAATGAACACCGACATTCAGTCTTTGGGGTTTTCAAGGGGGGACAATTAGATGTAGTGGAGTCGGGAGGGGGGTAAAAAAAAAACGAATTGATGTGGCCATGACAGTGCCACTTTAATTGTATATGTTTGTATGTGTGTGGTTGAGCTGTGTTGGATGGATTGTGTATCAGATATAAAACATCTACTTCACCACATAACTCTCTTCATGGGGATTGTGTCCCTCGGCGGCTTGATCTCCTTTCCTATTTACACTCTTGTGTGTATTTTCCAGTGTGGGAGCTTGGTACTGAACCCTAACAGTGACATTTGCCCAACAAGGGTTACAGTTACACAGGTGCCCTCTATTGATTGGGGGACGCAGAGGCCAATAAGTTCACTGGAAGATTCCTATCTCTTTAATTTTTTCTTTACTCACTATATTCTTTGCTACTTTCTCCTGCTTTGCCACTCTTTTACCAATCCATTTCTAGGCTTCCCTGGTTCCTTCCCTCTAAAAGGTCTGGTGAGGGTGAGTTGGAACACCCAGGGCTCACTTTTCTTTGAGGTTTGCCACCCACGTGCCTGACTTGTGACTCTGGGTTGCCCTTTGGTTGGATCCTAGGGGTAGGTAGCAGATAGGTGGGCTCGCTAGTAACCATTCTATATTTTCCAGTCCCATTAAACGTGCTTACCCTCAATTGTAGGAGTCTTAACATCCCCGAATGCAGATATAACGTACTCGGAGAATTTAAACAAAAACACGTATATATTGACTTACTTCAGTAAACTAACTTTAAGGAGGGCTCAGCACCACCATTATGGAATAGAATGTATTTGACTAAGTAATAATTCACTAGCGGGAAAACGTGAGTAGCTATTCTGATAGCAGCGACATTACAATTTCAGGATCTGGGCAGTGAGAGAGATCTTTAGGGCAGGTACAAATTGGTGAATGGAACATTCTAGCTTCAATTTTTGTTACAAATAGCAAAGAAACTGCACTATCTCCGCAAAATCTTATATAAACTCGCCATTTTGCTGAAGGTATTTTGCTTCTGGGAGGGGGATTTAACGTACCTTTGAACCCTAGCTGTATTTCTCAATTTTGCAATCAGGCCATTTCGAGAGTTTTTCAGGGGTTGTGGCTAGTGGATTGCTGGAGAGCTTTAAATCCAGATGACAAAGACTTTACTCAATACTCATCTCTCCATGGTCACTACTCTCAGGTACACTAATTTTTCACACAACAAGAGAACCTCATTCATTTACAGAAGACATGTTTGCCTCTACATGGACTGGCCATGAACCGGTTCAGATTACACTTCAATCGCCACCGTCTAAACCAGTGGAAAGGTCATGGCAGCTTAATGAGACACTGCTTAACGACCTGGTAGTAAAGGATCAGAAAGCCCAGGCACTTGCCTTGTATTTCACAGATAATGAGTCAGCAGACTTATCCCAAATGACAGTATGGGAGGTGCACAAGAGCGTTCTTATGGGGTGCTTTGTCCAACTGGCTACACAAAAAAAGAAAGAGGCAGTGAGTCAAATGTCAGATTTTACTGATCGCATCTCGGACTTGGAGTCTTGTCATAAATGATCACAGGTTGATGAGGTGTATCGGGAGTTATCGGCAGTCCTCATGCACAGACAGTACACAATGTTACAATGTTCTCGGGGATTCACTTACATGCACGCTTATAAAAGTGGCAGACTTCTTGCATGAATTTAGGGTATTCTATTTCTTCCTGTATAACATTTCGAATGACCAAACAAATTATACCAGCCTCAAGTAGGACACAACAGATAGAACAATATCTGGATAAATATAAACTTAATCGCCTACAGGAAGTTTGAGTTCCTACACCCGGCGTCTCGTGTTCCACTCGGGTAAGTGGGGACTTTGTTTTAAACTTTGTTTTCACATTGACTATATTATTTTTTTATTTATGCTCAAGGACATAAGCCAGTAGCATATTGTTTTGCTATACCGGTTCCAAGTCATTTAAAAAAAACATTTTTCTGCTTGTGATGAACTCACTATTAATCATCTATTAGAAAGAGTTCCCCCTATTTCGTTTGCCCAGTTTCCACAAACTCAAAGTGCTTTTCCCTGGTTTTTAGTCTCAAACTAACGAACACTGACCACCCCCCTGGCTCGTTAACTAAAAGTAACCACAGACATAAGTGCTCTTTCTGGGTGGCTGCCATTTGTATAACCAAAACCACATGCTACGGAAAATGGTGGCCATTTTGTCTGTCAAACGCAGGCAGTGGAACTTTGTCGTTGAGTGTATGGAACTCTGGTTCAGCTACCTGACCTCGCAAACCCCGGGGCAGATTGTACCGCTGCCTACTCCGTTTCCAGACAACCCTGAAGAGAGCTCTTCGTTGAACAGACTCTCTTGAACAAAGAGACCATTCGCTCTCTACGAGCTGGGGGGAACCTTGGTTTGTTTTTGTATGGGAACTGCCAAAAGTTGACCGGCAAATGCACCAAACGCCCTGGAACTGTTTTGGGCATGGGACCACATGTACAGCCGGTCAAAATTTTACCCTGGTGGCGAAATGGCTGGAATACATGGATCTGAGCGCTATTTAGTCAACTGGGGCGCTTAGATCTGGGCTATCCTGGGATATAATACTTGTGGAGGTTCCTAACGATATTATGTGTGTTTTGGGGTGTTTTTGGTTATATTTTTCATCTCTAGTGTCTGGGAGATAATTAGTTTAAGCTAAAGCAAGTTCACTTACCTAACAGTCTCAGAGATGCCTGGGTGGGCTTACCATTGTAACTAAAGGAGACCCCATGCTGGGCGTTTGTGTATATAAACAGGCCACTTGGCCCTTATAAAACAGTTAATTTTGTACCCTTCATCAAACCTCGGCTGATGTTTGGGTATACCAGAGTTATATAATCACTGCTTCACTACGGGACCTGGGAGACTCTTGAACGGATATACTCAACATGGTATAGGGGATCCGTTACACTGCTTAATTAACTCCAGAAACCACGACCCACATTCCTAGAACCTGCATGTCTTTGCATTTAGTAGCTATTAATTGAGCTTTAAAAATTATATTGCAACTACATTGCAAACTACGGAATAATGAAAACCGTTTTGTAAATATATTATATTTGTCCTTTACAGCTTCTTTTTTCTTCTGTTTTTGATTTAGAGTTTACTTACCTCATATTCTGAAAACACATTGCTTGTCTTAAAAGAAGCATTGTATACAATATATAAAAAACAGAGATTTCAAATTCCAAAACCACAGTTAGGCTCAAAGGAAACGTTATATCTTCAAGCAATTATTTTACTATCTATGTGAAGTGATTTTAGGTTCTAAATTACATTGTTCTGCTTAACCCCTTAAGGACACATGACATGTGTGACATGTCATGATTCCCTTTTATTCCAGAAGTTTGGTCCTTTAGGGGTTAAAGGAACATTACATCTTGAAGCAAGTTATATATACTTTGCACAATTTTTATGTTGTTACATATCACTATACATCAGGATGACCGAGGACTACTAAGATCTCAAATATAGGTTTTTGGACTTTATTTGTTTTAATTTATATTTTACAACTGAGTTTTCCATGAAATGTTTGCCAACAAACAGGACGGGAGGTCTTTTATAGATAAAAGCACTTTTTACGGTATCTACGGCAGTGATGTATCTATCACAAGGCAGACAAGGCATTTGCCTTGGGCAACACTTTGCAGGGGGCAGCAAAAAAAGCAGCCCCCAAACGCCCAGGCAGATCCTTTGTTTGCCTCGTGTCTTGGGGGACCTCAAGAGCTGGCCACTTTTGAGCTCCCCCGAGGAGGGCAGTGGGCAGTGAGGGAGCATGATCACCTGAGCTCTTCCTGCTCAGCTCCCTCGCGCGCCGCTTAATGAAGCCGGAAACCGGAACATGACGTCACTCCGGCTCCCGGCATCACTAAGTGGCACGTGAGGGAGCTGAGCAGGAAAATCAGATGTGATGCTTTCTTTAACTTCTTTTTTTTATCCTTTATTTTTGTAGTGTGGTGATACACAATATATGATAGGTAATGTGACAAATGTCCCTTACCCTGGACATTTGCCACAGACTCCTGGAGGAGTGTGGAAGCTAGCCTCCTGCCAGCCGACTATGGGCCATATACATAGTGCCAAACTCACTATTTTCCCTTCCGTTCTCAAGACATTTCCTCCTGGCTCGTTTTAGGCATGTGCATGGGAAAATTTTTCGGTTCGGTTCGGCATTCTGTAATTCGTGACTTCGGCAATTCGACACTTCGGAATTTCGGTAACTTCGGCACATCGACACTTCGAAACTTCGGCACATCGACATTTCGGAACTTCTTTTGCAGTCGCTTGGTAGATAATTCCCACTGTATTAGGGAGTTATCTACCAAAAGGCTGAAAGACCAAAATTGGTCTTTCAGCCAAATTTACTAATACTAAGTAAAGATTAGTTAGTATTAGTAAATTATGCCCCTACTCGCTATGCCTGTGGCTGCTCACTGTTGAAAATTTTTTTTTTTTTAAAAAGGGTCCCCCCTATTGCCCCCCCGCTAAAGTAAAATAATGGGGGGACCTATTGTCCTCCCCCCAGGCCCCCACACCTCAGTGGTGGGTGGCGGCCCTAAATATTAATTAGGGGGGGGACCTAATGTCCTCCCTCCTGGCCCCCACCCCTGAGCGGTGGGTGGGGGCCCTAAATTAGAATGAGGGGGGGCCCTAAATACCAATAAGGGGGGGACCTATTGTCCTCCCCCCTGGCCCCCACCCCAGAGCGGTGGGTGGGAGCCCTAAATTAGAATTAGGGGGGAATCTATTGTTCCCACCCCTGAGCGATGGGTGGGGCCCCTAAATACCAATAAGGGGGGCCCTAATGTACTCCCCCCAGATCCCTACCCCTGAGCGGCGGGTGGGGGTCCTAAGTTAGAATAAGGGGGAGGGAATCAATTGTCCTAAATTAGAATAAGGGGGGGATCTATTGTCCTCCCCCCCGGCCCCCACCCCTGAGCGGCAGATGGGGCCCTAAATAAAAATTTAACCCCTCCAGGTGACTAGGGGTCCCCAAACCCCTAGTCACCCCCCTCCTAAAAAGAATTAACCCCTACCTGCCCATCTCACCCTAAAAATAGTGAAGGGGAAACAATAAATAGGTACCTTGGGAAAACCATTTGATGTCTTCTTTCTTCTAAAATCTTCCTTTTTCAGCCCCAAAAAAGGCCATATAAAAATCCATAATATCCGTCGCACTTTGAAAAACAAACAAAAAACAGAGCACAAAAAAAAGAATCCCCCACCCACCGCTCAGGGGTGGGGGACATGGGGCGGACAATAGGTCCCCCCCTTATTCTAATTTAGGGCTCCCACCCACCGCTCATGGGTGGTGGCCGGGGGGAGGACAGGGGTGGGGGCCAGGGGGGAGGACAATAGGTCCCCCCCCTTTTTTTACTTTAGGGCCCCCACCACTTAGGGGTGGGGGCCAGGGGGGAGGACAATAGGTCCCCCCTATTTTTACTTTAGGACCCTCACCTGCCGCTCAGGGGTGGGGGCCAGGGTGGAGTACAATAGGTCGCCCCCCCTTTTTCTGATTTAGGGCCCCCACCCGCCTCTCAGGGCGAGTGGGGGCTTTGAAACTAAAGGGGGGTAGATAACCGTGGGAATTAGGGAGTTATCTACTAAGCGGCTGCAAGAGAAGTGCCGAAGTCCTGAAATTCCGAAATGCTGAAGTTCCAAAGTTGCCGAAGTTCCAAAGTGCCGAACCGAAATCCCGAAGTTCCGAATTGCCAAAGTCTTGAATTTCGGAATGCCGAACCGAACCAAAAATTTTACCCATGCACATCCCTACCAGTGACCTGATAGACAGTGGGCACAAGCATAGTATCGATGATAATTTTTACAGAAAAACAGAAATACATAACTAAACTATAAACTATTACTAAAACTGAATGAAAGTAGAATAGGCGTTAATCCAAGAGTCCCAATGATAATGGGAGCTAATGGATTAGCTCCAGTAAATGCCCAATGTTACTCTGCCAGGGATTGGGGAATAACCCACGATATACAGAGTAAACAGGAATGGACTAGAAGTCCTAATTGGGAGAGTAACACAAAATATAGGGAATGGGAGCCCTACCTTTAATACTGCTAAGGAAAAATGGCAATATAAAACAGGAAAGAGAGAGACAAGAAAGTATATGTATAATGTGTGTGTATGTGTACACATACACAAATACCTATAAATATCCAGCTAGGTTAGCTAAGATAAACATAGCTACTAGTGAGGTCTAAGGCTACACTGTACACTGTCCCAGCAAATGGACAAAAACCAGGTATAGCCAAAGGTGAAGGAAACTAGGGCTAAGATAAAGGAGCCAACCCCCCAAAAAAGTTCCATGGCAGCCCCAAACCAGAACTCAGAAAGTAGGTCTGTCCCACTCCCTATGTCACCTCGGCACTGTGGACTAACCACTAGTGCCTACCTGAACCTCTCTCCCTTCCTGATCTTAAAAGAAAAAAGAAATTAAATAAATCTTAACTAAATTAGTGCATATTAGTGCTACCAATTAAAATTAGTGTTAAAACAAAAAATAGT